AGATAGATAGATAGATAGATAGATAGATAGATAGATAGATAGATAGATAGATAGATAGATAGATAGATAGATACGTGTTGTGACTCAGCAGATGCTTACTGTGAGTTGCGTCGGGATGCAGGAATAATGAGCAGCTGTTGCTCCTTAGGATCTCCTAACAAGCAACAGAGACTGATGGTGCCATGCCCTGGTTGCAGAAGTCAACGTTCCCCGTTTGCGTGCAAACATCGAGAAAAGCCCACTTGGATAAGTGACTTGATTTGTATAATCCTGTTTTGTAGTAGTTTATGAGTTATAGGACTTTTGCCAGAGCAATTATCTGTGTTTATTTTGGGCTCGCAGCCAGCAAGAGCCAGGATTGATAAAAAGACATTCCTTTGAACGTTCTGTTTGGCTTTCGTTTCTGAACGGACAAGGTGGGGGTCAGAACACATATCTATCTATCTATCTATCTATCTATCTATCTATCTATCTATCTATCTATCTATCTATCTATCTATCTATCATCTATCTACCTCCCCTTTCATCACAAGTCTAAACAATTTTAGTAACTTGTCACCTTGTCTTATACTACAAAAACGATCTCTTCTTCCCATACACAACTATTTTAAATTGCATCAAATAAACCAATGTTACATTTCTGTTTTTCCTTTTAACAATCTTGATTTTTGTTCCTTGAAATAATATCCTAAAACTTGATTTTCCCCCTTCTGTATGTTCAATGTAGCATCTTTTTGAAATCTTTTTCGCAGTTTATTATTTTAAAAGACATTTTCATATCAGCCTCAGTCTGTTCTGATAAGACCTTTGCCCCTTCCATAACATCTTTGAAATACAGTCCATCTATAGAGACAGACAATCTTAAAATTAGCGTTAGAGTCCATGATTCAAAAACAGCGTTCAGTATTTCAATTGTAAAATCTCAGGCCCTAGTAGAGCAATTTTTTCAAGAGTTGGGAAGCAATTATGTTACTATGATTGATATTTGCCCTATGCCAAGAAGAGATATATTTCTCTGGACTATAGTATGGACTGCTGTTAAATACCTTCTGAGGATACCTCTAAAATTAAAAGAGTGTTTGCTAAATTTCAAGAGCTGTTCTAGTTCAGTAAAATGGGGTTCCTGCAACCATTCAGAAATGTGAAGACCAGGAAATGTGCTGTTAAAAGAATCTGGAAAATGCCATTTTTATAGCAATATTTTGGAAGACAATGACAGCAATAAAGCCCCCCCTTTTTCCCAAGCTACTGGAGGTAACTAAAAAGCTCATCTTGTAAGAGTTCAAGGCAGTGGGCATGTGTTGGCAGCCATCACACCCAGAGAAATTCATGACTACCATGAATGAGTTGGAGACACAAGCAACGTTCATGGTCTCTTGCCCTCCAGTTGTGTTCTGAAACTCCTTGTTGGAGCCAGTTNTCTTACCTTATGATAATTCTATCTGCCAATGTTGTATCAATGATACCAAATGCCAATAGAATTTACTGCATTTTTCGGAGTATAAGATGTACCAGAATATAAGACACACCTTAGTTTTTGGGGAGGAAAATAAGAAAAAAAAATCTGCCTACCAGGTATTCATTTTTATTCCCATCACACCAGAAAAATAAGCAAACACGATAGTATAATTAAATGACACTTTTTGCCACTTTTTTCTCTCTCCCCAGGCAGCCGGGGAAACCCTTAATAAGTTTAACTAGATATCTGGACATTCAGCCAAAAGCATTTCACATCTAATAAAATTGTAACAAAGCTGAATCAACAAACCAGCCCAGCGCTTGTCTGAAGGAAACCATTGAGAAAACTCAGATAGCCAATAGGAAAATTCCTGCCTTGCCCTTAAAGGGATTATCCCCAAAATAAACTAGAAGCGAATGCAGTGTCCTTTGTGCGGAGACAGTTAACATAAAGACAGTTGTCTTTCTAGGGAAGAAAAATGAACGGGGTAACAAAAGATTGTGATATAAACATGTCAGTAACATCAGAAAGGGTAACACAAGTATGAAAAATCAGATCAGTGCAATAGGTTATCAAAGAATTCCAGACTAAGGCTCACAATATAATATATTTTTCTGTTTCAAATATATCAACTAACAGTATGTAACAACGGAGTTATTTTAGAGGATTCTCTTTTACAATCTGAAGAGTCCAAGGATCGCTGTAAGTGATTGCAGTAACAAATCAATTCTTGCTTATGTCTCCAACTGCTTTGGTTTTCTTCTGGTGAGGATTTCCTCCACAAAAGCCTAGCTCCTACAAATTGTTTTTAAAATGTGGGTATTCCTTAAAGAAGGAAAACATGGTAAATTGCAATAAATTGATGTACATCTATAGCATAAGCAGAAATCAAATTCAGGAGCAATGCGGATCAATTCAGAGACTAATGGAGTGTAGGGTTTTGTACTCACTAGGTGATGCCCTGGAAAGACAATTCTAAAAGAAATAGATTTATATTTTAATTTTTGTGGTTAGCTGCTCCTTTGTATTCAGGTGAGGCCTCAGCAAAATAATATAGCACTTGGGGAAAAAGATGCAGGCCAACAAGCCAGCACTGGAGGCCAAGATGGAGAAGATCTGCACAGCCACCATGTATTTGCCCTTGGTGCTGAGGTAGGTGGGCACAAAGGAGATCCAAACACTGCAGAAAACCAGCATGCTGAAGGTAATCAGCTTGGCTTCGTTGAAGGCCCCAGGCAGCCTCCGGGCCAGGAAAGCCACTGTGAAGCAAACAACAGCCAGGAAACCCATATAGCCCAGGGCAGAGTAAAACATGACAACAGGTCCTTCATTGCATTGCAGGATAATCTCTTCAGGGTGTGAGTGTTTGTCTGTGTCAGGGAAAGGAGGAAAGATTCCCAGCCAGATGGAGCAAATCAGAACTTGCACAGCAGAGGAAACAAGAACTAGAGCATTGCCCAAGGTCTTCCCGAGCCATCTCCTTACACTGTTTCCTGGCTTTGTAGCCAAGAAGGCCAACACCACTGTGATGGTTTTGGCTAAGAGGGAAGAGACAGCCACTGAGAAAATGATCATGAAGGCTGATTGTCGGAGAAGACAGGTAGCTTTCCTTGGTTGGCCAATGAAGAGGAAGGTGGTGAGAAAGGAAAGGAGGAGTGATGTGAGTAGAATGTAGGAGAGATCCCGGTTGTTGGCTTTGACTATTGGGGT